AAGAACTTTTCACATTTTATACATATATTAATAACATCATAACTGGGGTAACTAAGAGCCTTCCTAGATTTATGATAAATCAATGAATTTAAAAAGTTTTCCTTAACACCATATAGTTCAGATATACAATTTTCACACTGTAATATCTTACCAAGTTTAAAGCTCACAAAACCAGCAATGTATGTGACCACTTCTAAAGAATATGGTGATAAGGAATCCATTTCAAATGCATAGTTATGATCATTTAACAAGTTTGTCAAATGTTCATAATCCATGTTAAATGCATAATTATGCTCATCTAATAAGTTTGTCAAATGTTCATGTTCATTTGAAGTTACTCTATTAGTGACAGATTCATTGATAATTTGTTCTGGAACTTTTTTTTTGATGATACATTAAGAATATTAATGTCCTCCAACGGTACACAGTTTCCTGCTCCACCATCCCTTACCTCGGCATGAATTAAAATTTTTTTGTAAGCAGCAGTAAACTGTCTACAGGTGGGATTATTGTTGTAACCCCCTTGAGACCTTATAGCACCAAAAAATAATTCTATATGATCTTGGTTTATTTTGTATGTTGGAATGAATTTAATAATACTGGTCTCAACATATTTTTCATACAACCCGAGTACAACCTTGAGGCCCATTAATAATCCAACAAAACCAGATTTTCGTTTGGAATCTAATACTGGTTGCCCATTAATCAACTTTAATCCCAGAACATATTTATAAAATTTAAAATAAAATGTTTTAATATTATTAATATTGTAGGAACATACTGCTTGCTTGTATCCAAATTGGCTAAGTTTATGGGAATTTAAAATATCAAATGCATCGTTCATTAGTAAAATAAACTCTGATGTTGCTGTACAACCATTAAATTCTTTTAATTTGAGTTTATTGGTACAATAAATTAAAGAATCCGATACAGATCGACTTAAAAGTTGTGTTGCTAATGTAACTTTCATCTTTTGTTTAAAAAATTGAATGTGTCGCTTCCTTAAATTATTTCCCAAATGAAGTCCCTCATTTTCTTGTAGCTCATTTAGTTTTATAAGATATGTAAAATCTATGACTTTCCCATCACAATTTATAAATCTCTTTTTGTCTGCAAAACAATTTCTGACCAATTTTACCATATGTGGTGGATCAGGCAACAAAAAGTATAAATTATCATTAAAATGAAAATGAGCATTTACATTATTTTTATTGAATGGGCTACCAAGTGATGAACACACACTAAAATTTGCTGCAGTACCATCGAAAGTGATATTTGTGACAGTTATGCCTACATTTGTTAATAATGTAAGTGCTTGTTTTACCAAAGATTGTTTTTGTTCACTATTTATTCCAGCAGTAAAAAAATAGCCTATAGGTATTTTCCATGCTTCATTTATACAAACAAGCATGAACACTAACACTTCTTTGGCTATATCCACACTGTCACCATAGAGTCCATTACCACAATCTACATACCCATAATATTTATCCCCTACATATTCTACATGTTTCCTAATGGACATTTCGTCAAAAACTAACGAACAAAGCAGCCTCTTTTCTGAATTAACCACTTTAACTCTTAAAAAATCTAATGCTTCAGATGTAAAGCCAGGCTTAGCATCAACTGAAGCATACCATTTTGAGAGAGTTTTTGGATGTGGTAAGCAGTTATTAAATGATTGTCTTACATAATTGTAAGCTTTTGGGGAAAAAAAGTGCAATGTTACTGCAAAAGTCCTTACTGAATGTTCATACACCCGTTTAGTACTTTTATTTTGGCTTTTTTGGAACAGCCCTTTAACCAACTCATTATTTTTGCCAAATTGGTCCAACAAGATATCTTCTTGCTGTTCCAATATTAAATTTTTTTGTTTTAGTTGGTTAACCAGACTTCTTAAAGATAAAATTTGTTTTTTTCTTTGCCATGCTACCTTTTGTAGTTTTCGAATTTTCCTGCTTTTAAGGACATTTATTTGCTGTTCTTCCACAAGTTTTCTCTTCAAGATCTTTTTTCTTGGTGTGTCTGGCATGTTGGCAGTAACAGTGGATGATACATTTGGAATAGGAGAAGGCAAACGAAATTGGGAAGGTCCTGGTACAGCTATTCTAGACTCTAGGGCTGGGTCTTGAGTGTCAGTTGGTATATTTTCTACACACAGAGGTTTCAACACCATTGGGTTGTATGTTCTTACCTGTAATAATGAGCATATTTACTTTACATACATTATGTTTTAATATAAAAACATAAAAAGCAATAGGTAGATTTTAAAAATTATCATTAAAAATGTTAATTTTGTTCTCAAATGAGATATTTCATAAGCTCTGAATTTGCAGAAGCCTCATGGTTTGCTAATTTTAAAGCTTTTTTGCTGAAAACTATCTTTAGCTTCTTTATTGGAGTTGATTCATTTTCATCTCTGGATGTTAATGGAGTATGTTGCGCTGTTTCGGTCGTGTCTTCACTATTTTTTATTTTCATTACACTAACAATTGTGGCTCAATCCCACATAAACATAATACTAAGCTTACAATAAGTCTGGTTTTTCTCGATGAACTTTAAATTTGAGTGGAAACAAGTTCCACATTCAGTTGTGTAGACAAAAATTACTTTTTCTGAGACATCCAGTATCACAGTTGCTGAGATTTTGCATTATACACATAAACAAATAAGCAAATAATTTAAAATTTACTTACCTGTGGCATCAAGTTCCTTGGCAATAGCTGACCAAATATTGTCTTTAAATGAATTATCGCTATATTTTTTATTTTCAAAATCATATAAGGCATTATTTTGCTTGACAAATTGTATCAATTTTTCGTCATTAATATTTATCTTCGACTTTGACTGATCCGCGATGTAATAATATTCGCACTATCCATACCGTACCGGTCACGTCGCAGCTTACCGCAGAAAAAATACGTGGCCGATAATCTTGAACGCGAGGCTTCGGGAATGGTAGGCAAACGGAACGGAAAGTGAGCATATACTATATAATTTGTGTTTAATAATATTTTATGTAAATGGAAAGTCACGGATATGGAAAGTAAATGGAACTTATAGTGAGATTCGACCTTTAGTTGGAACTTAAGACATGACAGTGCAACCGGGCATTAGTGCCAGCCCAGCCGATGTCAGTTTGAAAGGGTTTATATAAGGTTACGACATTCAGTGCAGAAGCCGATGTCAATTTGAAAAGGTTAAGGTTACGACATTCAGTGCCAAGGAAGCCAATGTTGATTTGAGTAGGTTATAAAACCATATAAGGTAAGTGACTTTGATTCATTGTATTTTTCATCTGTGCAACAATGGCTGAGCAAGAATTAAAGAGTTTAAAATCAAAAAGGGGAGTAGTTAAAGGGAAACTTACAAGGTTTAAGAATTATTTTGATAATATTGATAAGGATTATATATCTAAAAAGTTGATCACAGAACTAGAGTTTAGGTTAAGCAAGGTTTCACCCTTGTATGAAGAGTGTCATGAGATTCAAGAAAAAATTGATGAAATAGAGCAGAGTAATGATAATATGAATGAAATTAATACTTTTGAGACTTCCTATTTTGAACTTGTTAGTGATATGCAAACACTTTGCGATAATTTTAAAATAGAAAACAATACTGAGAATGACTCAGTTTATAGTGATTCAAATCAGGGGGTTAACACGTTGCTGGACACTACCGAATTGCAAATCGGTCAAAACTTGTCACACAGATACTTGAGAATCTAAAAGTTAAATTTAAAAATTTCTTTAAGGAGGTGTTTCTAGTAGTAATTAGTATAGTTTTTTTTTGCAAAAAAACACGGACGGCTATAGCCGTCCCTGTCCCACCAGACAGTTATTATCTGCATCATGGGACACGACGGTTACCACCGTCCTCTTATTTATAACACAAAATCATTTATTTTAATAAACTAACATCAAACACAAATAAAATTCAAGAAACTAGATAAAATACAAACGGTAAAATTCCAAAAATAAAATACAAAAAATTAGATTTACACTTTTACATTTGCGTATGCCACAACTCGAAACAGAGTCCTGGGCACAATGGGGGATGTTCAGCACATGTTTTGCATCTGTAGCTGGTCTCTCTTCTCCTTCTGTCTTTTGTGCATTGTTTGCACCGTAGAAAATACTTATTTCGGCTATGATTCTGTGGAAGAGGTATCGTTTCCTGAAAATGTTGTACAGGTACATTTTCAGGAGTACCAGGAAGAGTCGTATTTTCGTGTGGTGTATGTTGTGGAGGAAACTTAATCAGTGTTCTCGCATCTTTTATTTTAGGGTCTAGTCCTAACAGGCTCTGGATAAGTAAATCTCTGAAATCGATAAATCTGATTGTTGCTGCTGGATTAGGACTGTTAAGGTTAAATTGTCGCTGCAGACTGCAGCGACAGTGTCGTCTGCAGTCAGACCTATTCCGAACAGAACTGCACTGCATCTACAAAACAGCGACAACAGCATTGCACGATGGGAATTTATAATAGTATAATATTAAAAGTCGTATAAGTAGGATGTCAGACGCAATGAACAACGATGAATTAATGTTATATCTTTTGATGGAAGAAGAAGATGACGACGATCTTTTACTTTTACATTATAAAAGAAAAAGGAAGCCAACTAGGTCTCTATTTAAAAATAGACAATTTTAAGGAAGTTATTCAATACTCATCAAAAATCATCTAATGGCTAACGAAGATATATTCAGAAGCTACTGTCGTTTAAATAAAAAACAGTTCAATTTTATATTCAGTTTTATTCAGGATGATATCAATGCTAAAGTCACAAGAAATGCTATTAGTGGTGAAGAAAAATTATTTTTAACTCTAAGGTGAGTAACTAAAAATAAATATTACATTTAAGGTATACGTCAAAACAAAAAACTAACTTTTAATATTAAATTTTATAACTATCTTATACCAGTATTATCTACTGTAAAAAATATTTACAGTATCTATAGCACAAGTTTATAAACTAAGTAAATAAAATGGAGTTTCTTCATTGTCCCGTACTGATAAATCTGTCGGTTCTGGTGTGGTCTCCTGTAGCACTTATTGGAGAACAATCACTGGACAGATAGTGAACTGATCCTGGTGTGTAAGGTGGGTAATGTGGTGAACAACTTGGACCTGGCAACTCATCTGAGGAGCTTTGCAATGATGCACAATTAGATCCAGATGAGCAACCTTGAGTTGCACATGCATTTCGTGCGGCCTTGATTTCATAGTCTGACAAAACCATACTTAAATGTTTTTTTGCTTCGGCTTTTTCCACAGGAGGTAAATTTCGTAAGACTTCCCCAATGTGATGGCAAAATGCTTCTACATCATCATGTTTTCTTTTTTTGACAATTGATTTAAAAAATGTCTCTCGTTTTTTATCTCTTTCTTTCCAAATATTTAGCAGATCGTCGTCTTTTTTACGTTTACCTCCAATTTTAATTTGTTTCCTTGACTTCTGAGATGATTCTGTAATATTTACAACTGCTGCAGGTTCGGCGTCAATTTTTTCATTTTCGGTATTACCGGATAAAAGATCTGTAGGTTCATTACAATCATCATTTGTCAAACTGAGATCAACATCTTCTTCACTGTTTGGTAGTTCTCCTGGTGATCTTGATACATTGGATCCTCCGATTCTGTGGTTGGGAATACCGTCAAGAAATTTTAGCTGTTGATGTCTCTCCTCTTTAGAATTTTTCGGAGGGGCAGCCGAACCAGTACCTAATTTGTACTTTTTTTTGAATCTGTTGTACCCATCACGAATAAACTTCCATTTTTTTTGCACTCGTCACCTGCAAATAAAAAGTAATTTAGGTTTGAGTAATATTTTTTGTTACAGATTCTTGGCTACTGGTGAAAGTTACACATCATTGTCATTTGCGTACCGTATATCGGAATCTTACATATCCAGAATTGTGAAAAGTGTACTGAAGTGTTTAAAACATAAATTATTGCCAGTATTAATGACTTTACCTACAGAAAACGATTTTAAATGTGTCGAACAAGATTTTTGGCAGAAATGGAACATACCAAATTGCGTTGGAGGGATTGACGGTAAACATGTGCGCATCAAAGCACCTAAAAAAAATAGTGGATCACTATTTTTTAACTATAAAGAATATTTCTCTATTGTATTATTGGCTATCGTGGACGCTAATTATAAGTTTTTAGCAGTTGATATTGGTTCCTACGGCAAAGAATCTGACAATGGCATATTTCAAAAATCAGTGATTGGAAAAAAAATTGCTAATAATAGATTTAATATACCATCACCAAAAAATTTACCGGGTACTCAGGTAATATTACCACACTTCTTAATTGGAGACGAAGCATTTGCACGAAGTAATTATATGATGAAACCTTATTCTAGAAGGTTGTTTGTCCCCGTAACAAACATAAGCCTAAAAATTTATGTAACTCCTGCTTATCAATCGGTTTGTAAATCTTTAGAGTGTCGGATTTTAGGGCGAACCTGCTGACAAAGTATCTGTCCGTAGTTGTTGGTACAATCAAGTAAAAGTGTCACAATTTCATCATCCCACAGCTTACTAAATATTTCAAGTGGTGTGTGAATATCGCCTTCAATTGTTATTTGCTCTCTTAATGGTTCTTCACAGAAAACACTAATGTCAGCAACATTACTATGCCATCCCATATCTAGTTCTTGAACAATATCATTTGGTTCATGTGAACCACCTGACTCTTGTAAATTAGCATCCGTAGTTTGCTCTGAGTCATCACTATCAGTAATTTCAGTGTTTCTATTATCAAGATCCGAATCTGCTCTGAAACTTTCATCACTTGCTGAATATGACTCTGCTTCATCGTCTGTACTTACGTCTTCATACAACCGCAAGAGCCGCATTTCCTCTTTAGAATCCATACCTAAAATATCATATTTTTATAAAATATATTTTAGTATAATATTAATCAG